GTCCACCTGCTTCAGAGCCCCACCAGGCTTTGGAGGTGAGGCCTGGGTCCCTGCCTGCCCCTCTGCATCCTTTGGGGCAGTCTCTTCCCCCCCCAATCATCCCCCCCCTCTCTCTGCAGACCCCAACACCATCAAGGTCTGCCCCCGCTGCGGTGCCTTCATCATGAAGATCAACGATGGTAGCTGCAACCGCATGAACTGCACCGTCTGCGGCTGCCTCTTCTGCTGGCTGTGCATGCGAGAAATCACCGACGTCCACTTCCTCAGGTGGGGCAGCTGGTGGGGAAAGGACAAGGGCCCAGACAGCCCCAGAGGGGCAGGAGCGGGAGTCTGCTGGGCGGTCCGTGTTGGAGGGCAGCTGCGTTTCAATGGGAGCAGCTCTAAAATTATGCATTAACTGTTACAGGGCAGTCAGGATTTGAACTGGCCTCCTTCAATATTATCATATCATCCTTTACGAAAGGAAGATGTGAGAAGCAGCCCTGCAGATTTGCCCTTAGGCGCCATCTCTGCTGGCTCTCCTCATCCGTCCGCCAAAGGTGGCACACTTTGAGAAATGGAAATGACAGGCAGGTTCATTCCCTTGCTCCCTTCTGAGTAGTTCACCTTGCACACGAACAGGCAGGACGAGGAGCATGTCATGTGCATTTACTTACTTACTTCATCCATTAATGTAAAATGTTTTTACCCTGTCTTTCTGCTTTAAAAAAGAACCAAAGGTGGCTTACATCAATACAAGTCAGGATCTAAAGCTAAAAACAGTCAGTATGCAAATAGTAAAAAGGATCAAACAAATACCACACTAATAAACAGTAAACAAAAGCAACACCAAAAGCACATTCAAAGCAGTAAAGGCAGAACCACACATTTTATATAAAAAAGCAGCCAGTCACTGAGGGAAAGCCGGCTCAAAGAGAAAGGTCAGCAGAAGGACAGCAAAGGGGGCCAGTCTGGCCTCCAGTGGGAGGGAGTTCCAAAGTCTGGGAGCAGCCACAGAGAAGGCCTTTCTCCAGTGCCCTCAGCAGATGCACCTGTGAGGGTGTGAGGGTGGCAGGACCTAGAGAAGGGGCTCTCCTGATGACCTCAACACCTGGGCAGGCTCATAACCACGGTCCTTGAGATAGCTTGGAATCAAGCCGTTCAGGGCTTTATGGGTTAGAACCAGGACTTTGAATTGTGCCCAGAAACACATCAGCAGCCGGTGGAGCTGCGGTCACAAGGCGGTGGGTTGTGTGATCCCCGTGATCAGCCCCTCTTAACCATCTGGCTGCGATATTTTGGACCCGCTGGAGTTTCCCACCACTTTCCAAAGGAAGTCCCACGTAGAGCGTGTGACAGTCACCCATCCAGGATGTAACTAAGGTGTGTGTCACCATGGCTGGATCAGACCCTCTCCAGGAAATGACGCAGAAAAGGGGGCACCGCGTTTAATTGAGATCCAACCTTGGGCCTGGTTTTCGTGGGTCTTTTAGAGAACTGGAGTTTGTCAGTGGGTCGGGACTGGGGATGGGTTGAAGGCTTTCTTAACTTGAAGAGATATTTTGCATCTCCACAAGATGTGAGAGAGGAAAAGACTGTTAAGTTCCTCTCAATAGCAGTAGTGGAAGTGCTGTGCAGACCAGCACCCTCCTTCTTCCAGGCTGCTCACCCCCCCCCCCCAAAATAGCAGGAAGAAGCCATTAAGCCGAACATCGTCACATTCAAGACAGAAAAGCCCCCGGCCTGCTGCTCCTGAGTGGGGAGACGGCTGCCCTCGAAGGCCAAGGACCGGCGTCCCTTGGCTTGGCTGATGCTCCCCCTTAGAACCTCCGAGGGGGGGGGAACCCCACAGCCCTCCCCACCCAAAGGCTCCCGTCATGGGTTCCTGCCTTGAGCAGGGGGGGTTGGACTCAGTGGCCTTGCCTTGTTCTAGGAGTGCGGGATCCCCCCCCCCGCACAGAGCAAACCCCTCCCTGCCATCCATCCGCCTGGTCCCACGGCCTGGGGGGGGGGCTGGGATTTTGGAGAGGTTGATGCCGTTTCCCCAGAAAGGGGACCTTTCGCCTTTTGCTGTGGTGGGGGGATGGGCCTACACTGCCGATGCTCAGCCGTCTAATGGTTTGATGAAAGGTCAGTGCGTGGCAAAGGTCTACTCAGAAGTAAGTCCTGCTGAATTCAGTAGGGCTTATTTGTAAGCAATTGAGTGTTTCAGCCTTTATTTTACGGTAATTGTGAAGACTTAACAATATTGGGATAGACCTGTAGTGCAACCTAAAATGGCAGTTTTATGTCTATGGTTCACAAAGACTAACAGCACAGTATGACACGTCTACTCTAAAGTAAGTCCAGTTATGGTTAACAAGGTTTACACGGGCACATAATTACAGCTTCTTTCCTTCTACATAAAATATCTCAAGAAAAAAAACCAGAAAAATAAATAGGGGGACAACAGCAAACGCAAAGCGTGCTGCTCATTGACCGCCCCATAGCGCTTCAAGCACTCTCTGGGCGGTTTACAAGTGAATGATGCAGGCAGCACATTATTGCCCCCTTCCCCCCCCCCCGCAAGTCAGGTACTCATTTTACTGACCTCGAAAGGATAGAAGACTGAGTCAGCCTCGAGCTGGCTACCTGGGATTGAACTCTGGTTCATGAGCCCAGTTTTGCCTGCAGGACAGAAAAATAAGTGCAGTGCTTGGAGAAAAGACAGTCAATATGAACCTACGTGTAGAACCCACTGCCTGGAATCTTCTTCCAAGGAAGGCCAATGTTCTCAGCCATGGCCATTGTCGGAAATAAAACACATCTGCTCTCCCACCTAAAGGCCCCCATGGAAGCCTCTAATTGTCAGGAAGTTGGGGGGTGGGTGTGCTACAGGACAGGGAAATGAAGTTTTTAAGTATGGAAAATAGCAGCTGCTGGTAAGGTCAGCTTTCCACAGAATTGGTGGAACAGAATTTCTGCCTGCAAGACCTATGTCTGAAAAAATGTGCACAAGTTGGCACTTCTAAGCAACTGCAGTTGTGTGGACCTTTTTCCTGAAAGTAAACCTTGTTGAATATAATGCTGGTGCTTTGGGGCATGCACTGAGTGCTTTAAATGAGCGAGAGCAAACTTTGTACTCTTCATTATTGCACTAGCCTTATATGTGCAAGGTTAAAAGGTCAGAAGGAGGGTAGGGACATGAGTTTACCTGGGAGGGGGAGAAAGCAAGCCAGAGATGGGTTTCTCAAAAATGGGGCTTTCAAAACGAGCTTTTCAAAAATTAGCTGTTCCTTCTCTCTAAAGCGCAAAATGGGGATGCAGAAGAGGAGTAAAATAATGGATGGGGTTTTTCTTCTGTTTTTCAGGCAAGGCTAGTCACCTAACTGAAAACTGAAATGGCAATTTAACGTGAACATAATTGTTTTTTTTTAAAAATCCCCCTCCAGTTTAAACCTTTGGGCTAATGAAACGGTTGGCCTTTTCTACTAACTTTCTCCTCTCTGGAAGAGGCTGTGCCTGGGGCTGCTCGTGGTCCATGGGGCAAAATTGGCTTTTTCCTGATGGGCATTCGCTGGCAGAATGAGGGGGGGGGGGCTCAGGCTGCAGGCGTGTGCTCACTTCTCTGGGATCCAGCCTCTGTCTAAACTTGGGGTGATTCCTTTCCGAGGAGACTACACAGGACTGTGCTCTCAAAGGCAGGAAATCCTGCAGCGACGGTTTTAAAGCAAGGATGCTGTTTGCATATGCATTTCAAAAGCAAGTGTGGGTTTGTGTTGATGGCTGTGGGGTACGCAGCAACCCAGTGGCAACCCCTAATGGATTCCCCTGCTTGGCTGCTAAAAGAGGGAGAGTTGACCTCCAATGGAAGCCACAAGCCTAGAAAAGCTTATTAGAAGTGCCTTATATTAACAGCAATCGGTCAAAATGTATCCAGGAACAAAAAACCAGACACTAACCACAGAAGAATTTAAAAAAACTCCTAGCCTTAATTATTAAGGTTAAAACAAAGTCTACTAAGAGCAGAAGCAGCAGGGGAGGGTCAGAACCATGTGAATGTGTGTCTCCTCTCACTCGTTGGAAGGGGGCTCCAAAGCTGTTCTATGATCTGGGTGGCCCCCGGTCCACTCACCCACCCACCCCAGTGCCCGAGGGTTCAGGAAGTCTGCTTTGAGGGGCTGGGGAAGCCCAGCTTCCTCCCAGTTCTCTCAGGCCACTGTGGTGGCCACGGCAGGGTGTTGTGTGTCTGACCACGGCTCTCCTCTCCTCCTCCTCCTCCTCCTCCGCAGCCCATCGGGGTGTACCTTTTGGGGGAAGAAGCCCTGGTCCCGGACGCGGAAGCTCCTCTGGCAGCTAGGCATGGTGCTTGGCGCCCCAATGGTCATCTCACTGGTTGCTGGTCTTGCTGTGCCAGTCATCACACTGGGGATCCCCATCTACATGGGGAAAAAGGTAAGGGGGTGCCTGCGTGGCCCCACTCTCCTAGTCCCGTGGGAGGCCCCCTACTCTGCCGGCCCTGCAGCGTCTTCCCTTCCCTGCCCTCCCCAGGTTTTGAGCCACGGACGCAAGAGCAAGCTCTCCAGCTGCCAGCAGTGCCTGTCTGTGGCCAGCAGCATCATCCTCTCCCTCTTCATCTCCCCAGTCGTTACGGCTGTCACGGTCGGTAAGAGCTGCTGGGCAGGATGGGGCTGAGGGATTTGGAGAGGAGCCCCCGGCTGGCATTAGCCCCCGGTGTGTGTGTGTGTGTGTGGGGGGGTGCGAGGCCTTGAGCCAGCCGGCTCCTTCCGCATGGAAAACCCACACTCACGGAGGGGGGGGGCTCCTTCTCAACAGGAGTGGGAGTGCCTCTGATGCTCACCTACATCTATGGGGTCGTGGTTCTCTCTCTGTGTCGGAATCGCTGGGGCTGCGGGAGCCCCCAAAGGAGAGCTGGGGAGCCAAGTTCAGTGGAGCTGGAAAACCTCGCCAAACGTACGTGAGCCTTGCCCCCATCTCTCTCTCTCTCTCTCTCTCTCTCTCTCACGGGGCCCCAACCCTTTCCTCCTCCAGGCAGGGCCCTGCTGGCTTCCAGATCAGTGAGCCAGATTGCCAAGTCCACAAGCCACTCCAGGAGCCACCGCCCTGCCCCTTCCTGGCCTGCATGGCCTCAGGCGGCAGCAGGGACTCTGACCCTGGGGCGGCAGATCCCTCCTCCTTGATGCTCGCGGGGTGACGCCACCCCCTCCTCTTCCAGCAGGGGGGAGGGGGGGCCAAGGGCCAGTGGGGGAGGAAAGGCTTTCGGGGAAATCAGCGTTTGTGTCAGTTCTAAGAAATGGAGCCACAGAAGGAAGATGATGATGATGCCCCAAAGTGGATGTGGGGCCAAAAGGGAGGCAAAGCGCGAGCCTGCCAGGTTGTTTTGCACGCCCCTCCCGCAGCCACACACCCCCTCTTTTAAACTCCTTTTCCTGGCAAAACCAAGCAGGTTGGTGGTGGCGGGGGGGAAATCAGCGTTTGTGTCAGTTCTAAGAAATGGAGCCACAGAAGGAAGATGATGATGATGCCCCAAAGTGGATGTGGGGCCAAAAGGGAGGCAAAGCGCGAGCCTGCCAGGTTGTTTTGCACGCCCCTCCCGCAGCCACACACCCCCTCTTTTAAACTCCTTTTCCTGGCAAAACCAAGCAGGTTGGTGGTGGCGGGGCGGGTCTGTGGCTCCAGAGGTCAGAGGGGAAACGGGGGCCCTGAGCGGTTTGTGAGGCCAGAAGGTCAACGGAGCGCTCCGGCTGGGGGTGCTTGGGGTCCGTTGGGCTCTCAAGGGGCCGGCCTCCATCCTGGGAGGCAGGGAGGGGCGGAGACTTTCCTATGCCAACCAGCCCTGCGGAGCGGTCTCTCCCATGCAAAGAGGGGCCGCCGCCACTGAGCTAGCTGCTTCTCTCTCCCGCTCTCCTAGTAAATGAGCTGCTAGCCGTGCTGCCCACCCCCACGGGGGCTGAGATGCGGGCCGGGGCCGCCGCGCCGACCCCCCCTCTGCCCAGTGGAAGCCGTCAGCAACAGGAGGAGGAGACGGGCCAGACGGAGGGAGGCCCCCGGTTTGGCAGCATGGCCGTCGCTGGGGCCGGGAGCCTGCTCAGGGAAGCCCCAGAAACCTCTTACAGGTGAGTGACAGGGAGGGTGACCAGGGTGTGGGGTGCGTGTGAAGAGGACTCCCCACGCGCGCGCGCAGCCTGGGTTTCTGGGGGACTCCTCAGCCGCAGCTGAAGGAGGCTTGGCTCACCTTGGCGCTCATCCCCCTCCCTCCGCACCAGCTCCCCTCCTGCAGGGCATGTAACCTTGGCTGCAGGGCAGTCGGGCAACCCTTGGGCGCCTCACCTGCCCCCCCCAATGCCTTTCCTTCCCACAGGGAGGGCTTGCACGTGGTGGAAGTGGAAGTGGAGGCCGAGCCCCCGACCGCCTTCGAGGGCAGCCTCTGCAGCGCCGTCTCCAGCCGCAGCTGCTCCACGGACACTCTCGCCAACACCAGTGACGGGGGCAGCTTGGCTGGTGTGACGACCGAATGAAGCCGCCGGGCCGCCCCCGCCAGCGACGGCAACCCGCATGGACCCGTGGCTGCCTGTAGCCCACACCTGACTCACTCCTGCTCTGCCGCGCACCCTCCCGCCATCTGCCGCCACAAGCCACTCTGCACCACCGGCTTCAGCCCCCAGCAGGGTTTGGTTGGCTGACTCAGACTTTGGGCACTGGGGGGGGAGGGGGGCAATAAATTGCAGCTCAGCAAAAAGCCTGACCGACTGACGCCCCCCCTCTCGGGTACACACATTGGGGGGTGCAGAGAGTTAAGCCTTGTGCCTCATCTGTCATGGGGAGGGTCAAAAAACAGCTGCAAGCGAGGAAAGTGATGCCGCTTGGACGAGAATCTCATGGCTGGGGCCTGAACCACTTGCTGTCAGGAAGTTCTGTAAACTAATCGTCCGGGAAAGGGAAGGGCTGCCGAGACATCACACAGCGAAGACCAAGCTGAGAATGTGCCCTGAAGAAGGGGCAAGGAGCAAAAGCAGGGCCCCCATTTCAAAACACTGCAGCTTTTCAAGAGGCACGGAGTTGGGGGAGTGATGGGGGGGGCGGTCCTGGCTGCTTCCCTGCAGCTGCGGGAGTCAAGAGCTCCCTGCCAGAGCTGCCGCCAGCCGGGAGGAGGAGGAGGAGGAGGAGGGCCTGTGACCCTGGCCAGGTCAGGTGTCGAGAAGAGCCCCGCAAGGTTTGCCTTGGCTCCGGGCCACGGCCCAGCCTGGCCCAGTGGCTCAGAGACGGGCACACTTGTCCTTCTACTCACACGCACTCTGAGGAGGACTTGGCTTGGCAGCTCCTTGGTGAGCTGGGAAAAGGCTAGAAGGTCTTCTCCCCCTGCTGATGGTGGACTCTGCACACAAGCAGAGAGAAAGGCGAGGTTAGCCTAAATCCAGTAGTTTTTTTTCCCTTTTTGGGCTCGCGTACCCAAACTGGGGAAAAAACAAAACAATACCAGGGGCCGGTGTGCTGTGGCAGTGGAGGAGCTGGAAGTGGTGGCGGAAGGGGGGATCCTGGGCACAGGGGTGCCTCAAGACCCCCCTCCGCATCCGCCACCAGCACCAGCTAATCCGGATCCTGACCTGCCACCTGTCTGGGCACCAGCACCGCAGTTGCAGCTGCCTGCTCAGGTTTGGCTGCGGGGAGGGGGGGGTAGCGATCCGGCAACCTATGGCTCGCGTGCCGGCAGAAAGGGCTCCGCATGCCAGCTGTGGCACGAATGTCATAGGTTTGCCATCGCTGTAAGCTAAGTTGGCCCTGTTAGGAATGCCTGCTTAAACTTAAAACTGCCCCAGGCACAGAAAAGGAGCTCCAGCGTGCCATTTGGGAGCCCTTCAGATGTGAGGGATGGGGAACAACAGGAAGGAAAGTCAGTTTAAAGGCTTTTAAAAAAAAATAGAGGTTCAAGATATTGGTGGCCTTGTTGTTGCTTAGTCATTAAGTCCTGTCTGACTCTTCATGACCCCATGGACCAGAGCACGCCAGGTATTGGCCAAAGTATTGGAGCCTCCGCTTCAGGATCTGTCCTTCCAGGGAGCGCTCAGGGTTTGATTTCATGCAAAATGGATAGGTTTGTTCTCTTTGCAGTCCAGGGGACTCTCAAGAGCCTCCTCGAGCACCACCATTCAAAAGCATCAATTCTTCGGCAGTCGGCCTTCTTTAGGGTCCAGCTCTCACTTCCATACATCACGACAGGAAAAACCAGTTGGCAGCCTGCAACTGGTTGAAAAAGTGACCCAGCATCCTGGAGGCTTTCAGAGGCAAAAACAGTCGAGAGGGGTGATCCTGAATCTGGGCTAGAGCCTTTTCAGGGGGCAGCTGGAATGAATCTCTTTCTGAATTCACAACACAAGGCACGGGATGTGTCGCTCCACCCCATGGCCTGGCAAAAGGAGCAACACAAAGCCCTGAGGATGAGCAGCTCAGAGCAGCCCCTTCAGATTCAGACCAGCCCCTGGCTATCAGAGACTGACGTCGGCAACAATCACGCTCCCACCAGAAGGCCCAGCCATGTTTGTTTCCCGGCTGCTGGACACCAAGGGCTGGGCTCAGGCCCACAGAGCGGTCACTGTAAAGCATGCTACCTTCCTGGCAGGAGGAGGCTTGCCCCACAGTGCCCTTCTGAAGGTGGGGGGGGTAGGGGAGAAAGGGATGCGCGGGCAGAAATACCCCCAACTCCCACAAACAATCCCTCTCCCTCCTCCCTACCTCCGCAAAAGAAACAGTCACATATTATGGGTGGGGTTTAGTTTAAAAAATTCTTAGTTGAAATTGAACAACACAGAGAGAGACCTGGTAGCCAACATGTGTGGGGGTGCGTGTGAGAGCAGCCAGCCCCCAAAATAAAAAACAGAAGGCCTTAAATATGGGCGCAGCTTGGAGCTGTCCATGGTGAACAACGGCTTCCTGACAAGGAAAAACATCAGGGGCACAGAGACGGCAGCCATCACACAGGAGATGCTGGAGGGGAATGGGGGAGGACAATGCCTGGGCTCTAGCCCTCCCCACCCACCGCTCACTCTTTGGAATGGTTTCAAGAACAGTCGTCGCCCCCCCCACCCCAGCGCCCCGTGCCCCGCCTCTTCTCACCCCTGTGAATGACACAGACAGACTTGGCCTCCCTAAGGCTAAAAAAAAGGCCTACATCAGGCATCCAGAGTTCAGCGTTGTTTAGAAAACAAGAGTCCAGGGAGAGGTGGGGCTGTGTCCAAGCCCACCCTCTGCTGCTGCTGCTAGTCCTGCCGGGCTTTCTTGCTACAGCTCTCTTCCGTGGGGGTGGCCCCTGCAGGCGCTGTGGCCTCTTCTAGCTTCCGTTTGCCCCCCTCCGTGGTGGCAGAACCCTGGCTGGGGCGTGGCTTGAACGAGATGAGGATGCAGGTCATGTTGTCGCACCCGGTTCCATCCCCAGAGGTGTCTGGAGCCAAGCAGCGGTCCAGGAGCTGAGTAAGAAGGAGTGGGCAGAAGGCTGCTCAGCAGAGGCTGCTGTGAGCCACACACACCCCGTCCCAACCGAGGCTCTCCTGGAGCAGGAGCATGGGACACACACACACACAAAATTTATCTGCCAAGCATCCTTCAAGCCATGGAGGCAGGAAGCAGGCAGGCCTTGGCAGGAAGGGGTTGCGAAGGGCCAGACGCTTGAACCAGGAGGCCTTGGCTGCAGCCGGCCGCTGTGGGGGGCGGGGCGGCAGGGGGACATCACCGTTGTGCCCTCCACTTGGATGTGACCTCCTGGCCGGGCTTCTCTAAGCCACCGGGTGAGGAACCTGGCCAGCTGCTCAGCTGATCTGCCCGGGCCTCGCCCAGGGACCAGCGCTGGGGGAATAGACCCCCCACCCCACCCCTACCGATGGCCTTCCCTCCAGGACTAGAGGGACAGTGCCAACCAGTGGCTCAGTGAGCCTCCTTCCCACCCGAGCTGATTAACAAGGAGTGATGCCACCCCCACCCAACCCATGAGCCAGAGAGATACATCTCCTTTTCTCTTTCTTCCTCTTTGCTCACTCACTTCTTCAGCTATGGACGAAAGGGACCGCAGCTGTCCGTCTTCCCCCTTCTGAGAGATCTTGGACTGCACAAAATCCACCACCTCTTGGCTGCTCATGACGTTCCTACGTAGGGACCAAAACAAGGAGGAAAAAAGAAAGAAAGAAAAAACAGAGGTCACCTGGAGTGGTGAAGGACGAGGAGGGCCAGCCTCTTCCCCACCCCCACCCGCAGGAGAAGGAGAGGAAGGGCAGCAGCCCCTTCTCCCAACCTACCAGATGCCATCACAGGCAATGACCATGAAATCGTGGTCCTCATTAATGGTCAACACTTTGATGTCCGGCAGGGCAGAGATCATCTGCTCCTCGGGAGGTAGGTTCTTGTTACGCTTGTAGAAATGATCGCCTGGGGAGGGGTGTGGAGAAGAGAGGAGGGGGAGGCACAGGAGATGGAGAGGTTGGTTTGAAGGCTCCCTGCTTGGGGAAAGCACATTTCTGCCACAGAGAAAGGGGGCAGCAAGAGGAGGAGGAGGAGGAGGAGGAGGCCATGGCTGGGCTCTGCAAATGTGGGGGAGGGAGAAGAATCCTGGCTCCTTCCTCTGCTGGTCTCCAAGGAATGTCCCACTGCAACAGGGGGCCACAGAAAGAGACCCTCTCTAGAAGGAAAGGGTTATGAGGAGCTGCCTAGTGCCACTAACCACAAGGGCAGCAGCAGCAGCTGCCACCGGTGGGCCTACCAAAAGAAAAGCAGCTGCCTTACAGTCCCCCCCCCCGACAACAATGTGCTGGCATGCCAGGGAGCGTGGAGTGGCCTCTTGCAGTCAGCAACTGGCCGGGCCACCCTGTGCTCTTCTTCCAGGCCCTTCCCTCCCCCCACGCGCCAGGATTGTGCCCCCCTCCCCTCTGTGGCAAAGCTTCCTGTCTTAGGAATTTCTGCAGGTCACGCACGGGAGGGGGGGGGACAGCAGGAGGGCAGCTCCTACACCCCTGAGGAATGGGAGGGAGGGAGGGAGTGGGCTGCCCGAGAAATCCCGGCCCCTGCTAGAAGTCAGGGGAAGGCTCCAGACCGGACCCCCCCCCACAGCAAGCGTGTTGGACGCGACGGCACTCACCGATCGCTCGGGAGAGGTTCAGGCCTCCATTCACCCGGCCGTCCATGGTGACTTTCCCGCCCGCGTTCTTGATCCTGGCCAGCTCCACCTCGTCCTCCGGCTTGTGGTCGTAGGACATGTCCACGGCCTTGCCGCCCTCAGACACCACGCAGCGAGAGTCCCCCGCGTTGGCCACAAAGAGCTGCTTGCCCCGGATCAGGGCCACCACAGCCGTTGTGCCGCTGTCCGAGCCAGGCTGGGAACCAAAAGTGCTGTGAGGGACGCCCCGTGCAGGAGCTCACGGGGAGGTGGAAGGGCCTGCCCCAAAGCCGGGGCAACGGCCACCCAGGAGAGGTGGGTCAGGGTGGCCCTGGCAGCTGACGGTTCCCTCCCCGCCGCACCCCTCCCTGGTCCGGGGACTGACCTTCTCCTTCCCCTCCATGCCAGGAAGCATCATGTCTTCCTCCTCCTCCTCCTCTTCCTCTGCCTCTTCTGTGTCATCCTCCTCCTCCTCCTCCTCCTCGTTTTCGGCTTCCTCGCTGCTGTAGCCCTCCTCATCTTCACTGCATTCCTAGTCAAAACAGGGACCCACCCCAAAGGGAATCCTGAGCACTGGCTGCTGGCCCCCCAAGGCCCCCCTCCCAGTGCAGTTGGGCTGACTGGGGGCCAGCCAACTCAGTATTGGCTCAAAAAGCTCCTCCTTGCCCCTGGAGTACCTCACTGTCCTCGTTGTCTTCCTCTTCTTCCTCTTCCTCCTCGGCGTCTTCCTCTGACTCATCCTCGCTGTCGTCAAAGAATCGGGACTTGGCCGCCCGCTGGGCCTTGCTTGCAGAAGAGCAGGAGGGTTCCGCTTCCCCTGGGGTAGGGGCTCCTCCTTCCGCCCCCTCCTTCTGGGGGGGCCCTGCATCTCCTCCCCCACCCACATCCAGGCCAGGGGAGAGACTGGCAGTGGACTTAGGGCACGGTTTGCCATTCTCCTCCTCCTCCTCCACCTCCTCCTCCTCCTCCTCCTCTTCCACCTTCGGGGCAGTCCACGGATGCCTCCCGAGCTCCTCAGTCCCTGCCTCGCCATTGAGGTTGAGCCCCTGGGGGTCCTCCTGGGATGCTGCCGCCACCGCCGCCGGCTTCCTGCCAGTTGGCCCGAGCTTGCCTTTAACGCAGTTTTGGCCGTAGCGTGTCAGCAACTCCTCGATGGTCATGGTGGCCTCCTCGTGCAGCAAGGCTTCCTCCTCCTGGTCCACTGCATGGGGTGGAGGGGGGGGAGGAGGAGGGTCAGTCTTGCACTCAGCCAGACCTTCTCTGGCTGACTGGAGTCCCTTGACACTCACCTCCACTACAGCGCCTTCTCCAGCCCCTGGCCAAACCGCTTTCCCCACCAGCCTCTCAGAGAGCCGTGTGGTTATGCGCTTAGAGGGATGAAGTGGGATGAGGTTCCCACTGAGCCATGAGCCTTGCTGGGCACACTTGGGCCAGTCACAGTCTCACAGGAAGCAGAGAGGAGTGTCAAGGAGGGGAGACTGACCCATAGGTGCTACTTCCAGGCCACTGGAGAAAGTGAAGGTGACCAAGGAGGTGAGAGATAAACACAACAGGTCCTGCTGTGTGTGTGTGTGTGGGGGGGACCTTTTAAAGCGGTCCTCCTCTCTCATCTCCAAGCACTCTTCCGGCGCTTTTCCTCCTCACCTCCATAGGTTCTTAGTAACTGGACGGCCTTTTGCTCTTAAGAGTCACCGTGGTTTCCTTCAGTAAAGGGTAAATGTCTCTCCCCCACCCTGCCACCCCCAGCCTCAGCAGAAAAAGCTGTAGTCCAAGAGCAGTGCCCCTACTGAAAAGGCTACCTGGCCCTAACGGGGAGTGCAAACCATCTGGATCAGAAAGGCACCAGCTTCTCCACCCATTCCCCGGTTCCAGATACCTCTTTCTCATGGCAGGGCACATCAGGGAGGAGGGAACATCCCTTTTGCCTAACCTACGTAGGCTTAGTGCATGGCATGGGTCTTCTGCCACACTACTTGCACCTTCAGCCTTGAATCCCAAGGGACTGGGGAAAACACACACAGAGAGAGACCTTCAAGCCCAAGTTGTCTTTGATCTCTGGACCATCCCACCCTCCCCCGGTGCCAACTGGTGAGTGGCAGCTTCACTGACCATCATCTTCATCTGCCACCTTCGCTTCTTTTTCCTCCCCATCTTCTCGAGAGCGCCCAGCCATCAGGAAGAGTTCCTTGATCACTTCTTCTGTGGTCAGCTTGGCATCAATGGCCAGAAAGGCATCCTCTAGGGCCTGGGAGCAGTGGAGAGAACAGACCACCAGCTCACCATGGGAGGAGCCCACAAAGTCACCCAGACACAAGCCCTGGGGAGCAAGACATGCCTCCTGCGTGCCAGGAGAGTGTCTCCCATGCGAGGCATGGCTGGTGTGTGCCCAGCGGAAAGGGTGACTATGCCACCAATAACGTGCCTGGAAAAGATTCCTAAGGAAGAACAGACAAGTGCAGCTGCTTGCAGACCCAGTGTGCGTGTGTGTGTGTTTTTGGGTGTGTGTGTGTCCAGGGCGCAGCCCCCTTACCTTCTGCAATTTGCCTTCCTTGTAGGCCTTCTGGTCCTTGATGATCTCTGGGAGGTACTTGGCGCAATACAGAGCCACTTCTTCCCCTAGCAAAAAACAAGGGCTGGGGACTCCGAGGTCTGCCCCATTCCTGCTGCCCTAGAGCTGAAGCAGCCTCGGGGCAAACTGAACCCCGAGGAGGCAGAGCCGCTGTTCTCTCCCGCCCGAACCAGAGGGGGGTCCTCCCAGGCTGAACGGGGCACCCTGGCCGGCCAAATCCTACGGGGGAGGCCCAGGCCACCCCTCGCCCAGGGGAGCCCCGGGCAGGAGGGACCCCAACTGGGGGTGGGATGATGCCGCGCCGCCACAGGGCCGATGGGCCGCCGCGCCTTGCCTGGCATCACTCCGTTACCTCCGTGCCCGTCGTAGACGGAGAACATGGCCGTCTCGCTGTCCAGCTCCGGGATGCAGTTGTGGGCGTCCTGTAGGGAAGAAAGGGCGAGCGGGGAGCTCGGTGAGCGGGCGGAGGGGTCCCCGGTTCGGCGGAGACTCGCTTCGGCGAGCCCCCTGCCCTGCCCTGCCCTGCCCTCCCGC